AGCAGAGTCCTCTTGTTTACACGAAAATGATCAAATACGTTTTTTCTAAGGGAAGCGCTATAATCCAACATACAACTTTACCATGCATATATATTTCGTTGGGTAAACTGGTGGAAGCCAATCGTGCTACTTGTACAAGAATTTTTACTGTATATATATTGAGAAGATCTGAAAAAATCACACTCTTATCATCCTTCAAAATAGAGCACGCCGTGCCACTTTGTCTTGCCAGTAAATGCACCCCCACTGTGGCTGTGAGCGTGCTCGCATCCTCCAGACGTCGCTCCCACCGGCCCCGGCTCCCCGTCGGCCAAAACCTCCTGCATGTCCTGGCAGCGGAGCGGAGGTCGGACCGCCGGAGGGTAGCGATAATGCCAGGCAAGCACTAGAAGGCAGCTGCCCTGTCCTTGACGACGACGTCCTCCACCTCCCTCCTCACGAGCTTCTCCTCCTGCTGCCTCCGGCAGAAGACCACCCACGCGTTCACCTCCAGCGCGACGCAGGCACCCATCAGCGTGGCGAGCGCCAGGCAGTAGCCGAGCTTCCAGTAGGAGGCGCCGAGCCCCATGACCTCGAAGCCCTGGAAGACGTTGACCACCCCGACGACGACGCAGCCGTACCCGACCAGGTGGTGGTACGACTTCCAGTACTTGCGGTATCGGTTGGTGGTCTTGGGCCGGAAGAACATGGCCAGCGTCTGCAGGCTCCCCGCCGTGGCCGCCGCGATGCCCAGCCCGCGGTGCAGCTTGTACGTGACGCCGGGCGACGCGGAGCCCATGACCAGGCCCAGCGCGAAGCCGGCGGCGCCCAGGGTGTACCCCGTCGCCTGCATTGCCGCGTGCGCGTAGAACCACGCGGGCCCCGTGGACGCGCACGGCCGCAGGTACCGCGCCACCGCCGCGCCGACGGGGAGGAGGAGCCCCCACGAGAGCGCGTTCAGGGAGCCGTGCAGCCACTGCAGCGCGGTGGAGGCGATGGGCGACGCCTCGGTGGCCGTGGTGAGGATGTCCACGGTGGCGTGCGACGCCAGGTCGGAGGCGTCCGTGGGGTGGATGGTCGGGGAGTAGCCCTGCACGTACAGGCCCCGGTTCCACACGAAGTGCACCCTGGTGCGGTTCGGCGACAGCCGGATGGTGGCCGCCACGGTCACCCTGGCGCCGTCGCGGACTGTGCGCGCGGGGGAGACGAGCGACGCGGAGGACGCCAGCAGCGGGATGTCCAGCGGCCGGGACACGAGTGGCGACGCCTGCAGCTTCACGTCGGGGGAGAGGAGGAACGGAAGCGCCAGGAGCGCGCCCGTGGACGGGTCGGAGAAGGCGGCGAGCACGCGCGCCCCCGTCATCGCCGGCGCGTCCGCGTTCACGCCCCAGGCCACCCAGCCCGACGGCGAGATGAAGGAGCCCGTGAACGCCGCGTCCAGCGTCGCGTTCCGCGCGTCGTAGGTCCACGCCAGCGTGGCGCCCTGCGTCGGCAGGGCGATGCACTTGTCGTACGTCTTGACGGGCGTGGACGTCGTGCACCGCCCGGCAGCGGCGGCCCACGCTCCGTCGGGGAGGGCGGCGGCGGCGACCACCGCGACGAGTAGCAAGCCGCGCGTCTGCCACATTGCTGCGCAGCTGTGTCGAGTACTCGAGTGGCGCGAGAAGGCTTGGCCACACGACCACACCCACGACGGCACGAGCTAGTGTGCCGTGAGGTGAGTGGTGTGTGCTTAGTGTGGTTTTGTTTGCGCGCGTAAGTGGGGTTTTAGTGGGGCGTTCCGGGGTGTGAGTGTGATGATGGCTGTGAGATGTGCGTCCGTTGGTCGCCTTTTGTTTCGATAGCTTCTTCGCTTTGAAGGCAAGGAACGAAAGGCTCCAAAAAGAAGGCTATAGTACACTACATGCGCGCGTCCTGTGATGTGTGATCTGGATCTGCTGTGTGGTGCCGACCCCAGCTTGACCCCATCCTTGGCAAAGAGCTTATGATAGTTGTTGCAAATTGAAGTAGTAGTCGTCTGAACAGTGACAATGGCACAATGCTGCTAGTCATCGATATACAGTTTAATTAATATATACATGATGCTTGACACACCTTTAATTTGGGTGTAGTAGTGATCAGCTGTGGAGAACTCGGCAATGATTGCGTGCATGCACTTGTTAAATGGAAGGTTTGGTGGCCGCAGCGGAGTGGTGAGGGTGATGAGATGTGATGCGATGGATTCGGAGAATATTTTGTTTCCAGCTTGAGACTCGTGTTCATGCGTGGCTATGATGGCCCTCGTAATTGTTGGCTTCAAAGGCACGGCTAGGAGATCGTGGGATTTCGGTTGGGAAAGTGCTGAATTCGTGAAGAAAGTAGCATGGGTGCATGGAGTATAAAATTTGGTACAAGTTTTCAGGAAAAAAGCGTTTGTATTTTATATAGACTACTAGTAGATATGCAGGTGCCACATGTTCTATGTTTATGAAAGCCATATCCTATGCAATGTGAGAACGTTAATGAATATAGTGAGAAGCAACGATTCCACCATACAACAGGTTCTATCATTCATTTCACAAGGGAAACGGCAACGCCCTTTCGCCAAGAAGAAATTAGCTTCAGATATTAGAAAACCAGTAACATGCAATGCAATTAACAATTGGAAGTAGATATCATCAAAGGAGATCTTGGTTCACGGAAGATTGCCGGCCTTGCCAGGAGGGACCAGTTGCCTGATAATAACTGGGAGCAGATGGAAGAATGACAGTCTACACAACACCGCGAGGGTATACATTTTCATTTGATAGGAGGATGTACATTTTTTCCTGCATAGTCATTCGTTGCAAACCTTTTTTTTTTTTGAGAATTCATTCGTTGCAAACTCCAAGCACCTGAAAATGATAATTCTGAATGTATCAATGCATCCCTGAACAGTTCACTTAATAAGTGCCAATCCATTTGATCAATGTATCAACATACTTCAATTTTTAATTTTAATCCATGAAGGGAAGCTAGCACAACTCCAGAGCTACATTGAAAGGTATAACAGTGACCAGCACAAACTTAACAAAGGGTTGCTCAAATATGTTTATAAAGCTACAATATGGCATTCTCCTTCCCATTTGAAAGTGATTGCTCAAATATAATTATAAAGCTACAATACGACAATTACTCCTGCACATATTTAAAGAAATTTTGATATGCAATACTGTGAGAATATAGTGAGAAGCAATGAATCCACCATACAACAGGTTCTATCATTTCGCAAGGGAAACGAAGAAACTTCATATATATATAGTATTAAAAATCAGAAATTCAACACGCACACGACGTAGAGTATGAACAATTGGAAGTAGATATCATCAAAGGAGATCTTGGTTCATAATCCACGAAAGATTGCAAGCCTTACCAGGAGGGACTGGTACCTGATAATGACTATATCAGGAGGATGTACATTTGCTTTTTGACTCATTCGTTACCAGCTACAAAACTGAATCAACAAGTTTATCCTCCTTCCTGCAACAGAGCACATATGTTTATTTCAGACGCAGCAAACTCTGTTTAGAGAAAGATTTGCAAACTGACAGTCAAATTACTAAGAAAGAAAAATAGAGGTTAGTGCAAAGGCATATCTCAGCCACTCTACTCAAGTACATTGGATAGATATACCAAAATGGAGCACCAACTGCTGCAATTACTTTTTAAAGTTACACCAAGATTACATTTTTTAAAAAATATTGATTCAATTAGCATTACCCAAAAATCAGTGTGCTGTCTTTCTTTCTGTTTCTTTTTGGGCCGCATTTGTTCTCTGCGTCTGCTGTTCAAATGAGCTATTGCAGTATTGCTTGCAGTAGATGTACCAAGTTCATGCTTCATATTTGCACAGAAGAATGCAAATTACGTTCTGCATGCCTGAACAAGTATCCTGAGAAGTTTCTGAAGTTTTGTGATCTCAGCCTGAACAAGTGTCCTTGCCTGTGCGTTTTTCCTTTTTGGTAGGACATCCCCTTATCCTTCCAAACTGCAATTGCTTATCCAGGAGCACGCAGAAAGCCTACATGAGGCTGCAGTTAGTGTAAGGACATGAAAAAACTGACGGCATGAAGGTGAGGATGGGGATCAGGGGGGCGTACCTGGTGGCGTCTGAACAGAGGACGCTGGTAGGACAGGTGGGCAACGGGCAACACGGTCCCGACAGCTGCTTGGATGGAGGAGGCCACCGTTACGCGCGTGTGGCTGTGAGAGGGGAAAAAAAGAAGCGATCTAGACAGGGAAGGGAGGAAAGAAGGGTCGCAGGCGCTGGGATTTGCAGGTGGAATTGAGCAAATCTTGGGATGGAAAGGAGGAACAGGTGAGGGAGGGCGCGGGGGCGAGTGGAACAGACAATAGATCACGGAGAGTGGAGCCACTATGTTTTGTAGTATATACAGATTATACTACCTCTGATTCACAGTGTAGGTCATTTAGGAGTTAAGACATTGACACGATCTCCAATTAACACATTGGCTTGTTTTTTTTTGTTAAAATATACCATTCTGAATAGTGAAAATATATACCACGAAAATATTTTTCCATGATGAATATTGAATATGCCAATATGGTAACATCAACGATGCATTATGAAGTAATTTCCATATATTGGTAGTCCAAGTTAAAATATTTTGAGCAGACAGAATCCTAAAACGACCCAAATTTGGAATCAGAGGGAGTATTTGGATTCTGATCTGATGTGGACAAAATGGATTATTTTTCTGTTAAAGAGTTGTTTGAGTGCTATATTTATTAATACCTTTTAGCAACTGGTAGTTACCTGTTCATCACCTATGTTTGTTTTAAAGTGACAAGAACATATCAGACAAATATAACTGGGATATAAGCTTTCGAAATGTGATTAGTAACCGTATCACACTTCTCTGGAAAGTAAGATGGTTATATTCTATCGATCAGCCTGCTTGATGATACAGACAGATATCAAGCAAGCTCTATCTCAGGAAGAAAGTAACTTCTTAAATGAAGATAGTCGACACTGGAACAATCTAAACTCCAGAATCTGAGTACCTCATTCTCATTGCAGCTACTTCATCCTTCATTGCCTGACAATATTTTTCAGCAGTTTCTACTTCCTTTTCCAAACTGACAAGATTAATTCCTTCATTCAATTTATCATGTACATTTGAAATGAAAGCTTGCTTCTTTCCATCCAGATGCCTCTCCATCGTTTTTGTGTTGCCTTTCAGTTTATTCAGATGACTTGAAAGAGATTCAACTACGTTGCCCTCCTTCTCTTTCTCACGAGCATGCTCAAGCCTTGCTCTAGAATCTTGAAGCTTCCTAAGCCTGATTTGTGGATCCTTTAAGCGGGCAATGAGATGCTTCATGTTGAAACCCAGTTGCTCTAAATGCTGGGCTTTCTTCATCAGATATGTAATTTCAGAAGCATCTGTATCACATGACGTCTTGAGCACCTCCTTAGCCAAGCCAACTAGCAAAAACCATAATCCACTGTAAGGTAGATCTCCTAAAGTTTCATCATAGTTCACGAAGCCTCTGTAATGTGGTTTTTGAGGAATGAACTCAAAGAACAGAGGGTACTCTCTCATGGCTGCTTCAGCATAGGGGTCATTGTTGCTTTTCTTCAGGGTTTCTCGCTTGCTTCCACTTACATCATCTTCATCCGAGCTTTCCTCCCATTGCGAGAGAAGCCCGGAGCGAACATACTCTTCCAGTTCTAGGACAAGTTGCATGTTATGATGTTCTGGATTAGGGGCACTCTGTTCCTCCTCCTCATCATCCAGGTTTATTACTTCACATTTATTCTTGGGCTGTTCGAGAACAATACATTCATCATCGCTGTCAACTTGTGCCAACTCGTCACATTTCTTAGAATCAGAATTTAGATCTTCTTGCAGCGAAGAATACTTCTGACCTTCCAATTGCAATGGACTCCTTTCCGTGTTACTTTCTACTTTGCTTTTCTTCTTATTATTACCTCCATCTTCAGCAAATTTATCTCTGTGTTTCTTCTCCTTCCATTTCATTGAAGTAGTTCTGCTGTCCTTAACACAAGCAGCAAGGCCACAGACAATCACCTTGGTTTCATTCTCATGACTTCCATTATCCATTTTCCCCAGCTGCTCTTCTACAATGTAATTGCTCTGGTCTCTCGTAGTGACTTGTGTAAGAAATTGATCAAGTGCTGGCACTGCAACATTTCTCACTTACAATCAGTTGCGACGAAGTAGCCCCATTTTCACGATCTCGTAACACCGAGCAACCATATTGATCATCATCTTGATGCTTGTAGAACCGCCCACTGCTGCACCATGCAACATAATCTTCACCAGGCATTCCATATCTACTGATACTTGGTATCCACAACTCAGTTTCCACAAAGTCAATTTCCCTGGCAATAGACACAGGAGCAGCCTGATCATAACCAAACTGTCTGGCAACAAGCTGTGGATTGTACAGTACTGAATTGTCCATGTCATCACTATGAAACCCAGTCAACATTGTTTGACTGATAACAGCAATGTAATCCAGCAACCACTCTGGCTTATCTTTACCATGACAGATCACTAAAATGGTGTGCATATTGAACCACTTGGGATCCATCCAGTTCAGGGAGTTGTACCTATAGGGCCTCCACTCAAAGCATACTTCGTCCCACAAAATCTTTAGAGCCTCCTCGGATGTGCTCGTCTTCTTCCTCCGGCTCCAATACAATACCCTGACATTGGAAATGGGGAACTGCGGCGCCTTCAGCTCCGGCGGGCACAGCCTCTTGTAGCGCTCCCACATCCACACCTGCAGCATCCAGAGCGGCACACAGACATCTAGACGGCCAGACACCCCATTGGCCACAGCGCAAGTAACAATCTTATCCATTTCCGCATATAGATTTGCCACCATCGACTGGCCAAGGGCAATGCGCTCACCAAGACTAAGCCTCGCAGCAAGTGCGAAGGCGCGCTCCGGCAGCTCGCCACCCCTCGACCGCAGCCTTGGCGTGACAAAAAAGGCGAGCCAGTAGGCGAGGAACCCAAGCCGCCGCAGCTCATCGTCCTCGTCCGGGCGTATGCCACCGCCGTCGAACCACTCGAGCCATACCTCCGCCGACACGCGGCGCGCGGCACGGGCGACGGGGTGGAGCTCCTTGATCTTCTCCCTCTCGACGACGAGGTGGACGCGGAGGTCATCCTCCTCTGGCGTGAGGGTCCGGTCCAGCGGCGCGCCGGCGGGGGGCAGACCAGCGAGGACGAGCGCATCCTCGGGCGTGAAGGTGGCGGGGCCCGCTGGGAGACGGAATGCGTGGGTACCCGGGTCCCAGAGCGAGAGCAGAGCGGAGAGGGCCGCGCGGTCGGGGGAGACGGCGGCGGTGGAGGCGGCGACGGCGCCGGAGATGGCGGACGAGGCGAGGATGGGCGTGAACACGGAGTCGCGGAGTGCGCCGGCGACCCAGGCAGACCAGCGCGGACAGGTGCTGAGGTAGCGGAAGTTGAGCGGCGGGATGGCGTGCGGCGGCGAGGAGGGGGGCGGCGGTGGCGGTGGCGGTGGCGGCGTTGTGGTGCGCGGGGCTAAGGGGAGGGGAAGGAATGAAGGGGGCTTCGGATCGTGGAGGCGGCGGCCGTTGGAGGCTCGCATTTCTCGCGGCAGTGGATTGGGATGGCCTGCCGGGGAACCGCCGGCGGGCAGGCAGATTGGCCGGAGAGATGAGAAGTTGGGTGGGAGATTTGGGGGTTTGTGTGTTTAGGGCTTTAGGTTTGGAAGGATGGTGGATATTTCTCCTTTTTTTTTTTGAGGGAAGGGCGGGACATTTCTCATTTACATTCCAGTTGGCGGGACAGGCCCTGGAGGCCGAAAGACCTCAGGTGAGAACTGAGAACAACACAAGGCCCGACGGGCCGACGCATCTATTCCGCTTCAGCGCTACCGCTCGGCACTAGGCCGCCGCTCTTCGACGCCGCTCCTCTGCTCCCAGCGCTGCGCAGGCGCCCACCCCCGCCGCTCCCTCAGCCGCCGGCCGCCGCGCAAGAGCCCCGTCGACGTCCACCCGCGCGAGAGCTGCGGCCCCGTCGACGTCCGCCCGCACGGGGACTCTCCGTCTTCGTCTCTCTCCGAGTGTGGGATTGAGCCGGCTTTAACCGCCTCATATCTCACACTCCAGGTGTCGACTGCCGAATTGGATCCCTGATTCAACGGAGGCGTCCGAGGCAGCACCGTCGGCGGCGGCCGCCATCATGGAAGCAGAGGATGTGAGCGGCGGGAAGGGCAGCTGGTACGTGCTTGGGGAGCGTGCGCTGATGGTGCCGTACATGCGGGAGCACGTGCCGCGGTACCACGACTGGATGCAGGACCCGGCGCTGCTGGAGGCCACCGCGTCGGAGCCCCTCTCCCTCTCGCAGGAGTTCGAGGTTCACCGCTCATGGACCCTGGACCCCCTAAGTTCCGCACCGCACCCCATCCTTCCGGTTTGCCTCGATTTAGTTTTGAGCTGTTGTGATTGATTCAGTCGAATTCCTTTTTGCTTGCTTGTTTGTTTGCAGAGCACACTTTCATAGTCTTGGACAAGGAGTTGATAGAGGGAGAGTTCGTGCCAGGCAACCCGCATACTGAAGGTTCATTTCTCTGTTCTGCCCATTAGCTATCTGTTAATTGTGATTTTTGTCAATTTTGTAAGGGATCACGAAAATCATGCCTTGGTAATATATAACCTAAATTCGTGCTGACTTATGTACATTTGTTCTTCTGTAATCGGCAGAGAGCATAACCCTAATGAATTTACAGAGTTTTTCACTAAAAATGTATGCATGTTTTGATATATGATTTTGCTAGGATGATTGTTCATCTGTAGATTGAAATCTTTCGAACACAATATGCTAGTGATCCTGCCTTTTTTTCCATTTATCATGGACATGACAGTCTTTATTTCTTTTGGTCCCAATGACAACAATATGGCATGTGACATGGATATCGGTACACGGTTGATCCCTCACTGTCCTGCACAGGTCCCAATGACAACAATATGACATGTGACATGGATATCGGTACACGGTTGATCCCTCACTGTCCTGCACAGGTAAGCAGTAAGCTTACCAGCACACTCACTCACTCGCTATTGAAAGGATATAACAATGCCTAGAGGGGGGTGTGAATAGGCGTATCTAAAAATTAATTGTAAATGCTAAGTTCAAATTTGTCAGTCAATGTCGGAAGTCCCGGCGTTTGGGTCGAACTCCCGACGTTGTCAAAAGTTCCGGCACAAACGTCAGCAGTCCCGACGCCTACGTGAACTATAAAAGCAGTGCCAAATTTAACTTTGCGGGTAAATAATCTTACAACCCAACTTCCTTGTGGTTTGGTGAAGAGGTTGGGTCACTCTCTTGACGCCGTAATGCCTCCAAACCGTAGATCAAGTCCAAACCCTAAAATGAAGTTCAAGAGAGAGACAAACAAATACAAGTAATCTCTAGCAATCACAACAACAAGCACACGGACACAAGGATTTATCCCGAGGTTCGGCAACCCCACAAAGGAGCTCCTACGTCCTCGTTGTTTAGGTGACCACAAAGGTCGGAGTCTATTCCACCTCCTTGCCTCTCTCAAAGCGACCACAAAGGTCATTTGAGCTTTCCACTAAGAAATCAAAGGGTAATACAAACGTCTCAAGGCTCTTCCACAAGATGGAAGCTCTTGGGCAACGCCTAGTCGGCTAGGGGCAAAGCCCCAAGAGTAATAGACACAAAACCAACCGGCTTGACGAAGAAATCAAGTGCTCAAGCTTGCCAAAGTGATTCTCTCACTTAATCCACTCTCCTTTCACTCAAAACCCTAAGGGAATCGAAGATTGTAGCAAAGGAGGGAGGAGAGGGGTGCCTTTCTTGCTTGGGAGCTGTTGGGACGAAGTTGAGTCAGCTGTGAATGAGTCCGTAACGGTTGGAAGTGAAGAGAGGGCTATTTATACTCTTAGTAAAAATCTAACCGTTCAGATCTACGTTGGAAGTTCCGACGCAGATCTCGGGGCTTCCGACGTTAACAGAAAGCACTGTTCACACAGGGTCAGAAGTCCGCGCGTGCAAGTCAATGTCGGAACTCCGGACAAACGTCGGGACTTCCGACGGTCGGGACTCCCGACGTACGTAGTCAGTCAACCAGCAAAGCCCCAGGTGTCGGGACTCCCGACAAGGGCCGGGACTTCCGACTGTCGGCTTTCGACATGCACAGACAGCCGGCCAGTAAACCTAGGTATCGGGACTTTCGACTTGGGTGGGGACTTCGACTGTCGGGAGTTTCGACTCACGTCGGGACTTCCGACGGTCGGGAGTTCTGACTTACGTCGGGACTTCCGACACCAACAGTCACTGAAAAACATTCTACGTGCTCGTGGTGTGCAAGAGTGTCTCTCTTTTGATTCTATTATAATGCTTGAGCACTCTATCTTTCTCAGACCAACTAAGTTTGCATCCCTCTTAATAGTGCGGCGGATCCTAAACTCAAAAACAAAAAAAAACCTTTGGAGTGCGTTTTGAGTTCGTCCGCCTTTACAACTTCAAGAATTGAGGGATACCATTTCGTCTTTATCAACTCTTTGAATCTTTCATGGGACTAATAGCTGCGAAATATCTTATTAAGATCACATTAGTCCCTAATTTAGATGTCATCAATACACCAAAACCCACATAGAGGGCAAATGCACTTTCAACTATGGCTAGAGGTAGAAGAAGGGGTGAGCACAGACATACACAGCACAAGCACCAGCGTTGGCCAGAGCTCTGCTTTTTTGATTTGTGGCAACTGAACTGTCTGTTTTCATTGTATAGAGGTAGAGTATATACAATTCATGTACCAACTATAAGGTACACATGAGCATGGCTGAGTACAGCTCCAACTACTACTAGTATTAGCAGTACAATTCCTACCTCAGCCCACTACCAAGACATGGCTGATGTATTAGCTACCAACTAATGTACCAGTGGTGGCCTATTGCCCGACTGCTACAACAACTACGACAGCAAAGAATGACCTATTGCCAAATCTGCTGTGCAACAAATAAGTGAGAGGTCAGCAACAGATTATGTCTTACAATTCTTTCTCTAATTAAAAGTGCAATCAAGCCATAATTGTGGGTTTTGGTGATAATGACCACGCAATTAGAGAACTAATGAGATTTATCGAGATGACAAGCAGTGAATTTATATTCGAGGATGCTACACGAAACGGAGGAGCCCCCAATTACAAATGTAGATGGCTTCAAAGTCAAATGAAGTTTAAATTCTTTTATATTTTGAATTTGAGTATAGAAAAAGCCGTACTATAAAGGGGAACACAATGCTTAAGCTAATATGTGCTACCAAGTACTCAAACAACCTCATGCATCATCAGATTCACAGCCAAGGCAGTCTATACTTCACTATTACCCTTGCTGTCTTGCGTGGTGCGGCACTGCCGCACTTGAGTCGCGGCACAAGGAAGTTAGCGCCCACGCTGACTTTTCCGGATGGCTCGAGACGTATTAAAAGGTCTCACTCGACCCCTTACGTGCGGGCTCCGTCTCGCCCGACCCCAAGGACGCGGGTTCCGTCTCGCCCGACCTCGAGGCCGCGGGCTCTGCCTCACCCGACCCCTTGGGTGCGGTGACCGTTGGGGGTTGGAGGGTATATATATCTTTCCCCTTCCCAACGGCTCTCTGCCTCTTCTTCCTCACTTCAGCATGTCCAAAACAGAGCATGAGCTCTTTCTCTCTCCCTCCATTGTTGACCTCAATCCCCCAAACAAATCCATTGATTTCCCCATCAATCCTTGAGGAAAAAGCGTCTAAACTCGATTAGAGAGCAGCTCCATTGATTCCCCAACTCTAAAGAGCACTTGGTTCACGTTTTGGCTGGTGGTTGTGTTTGTTACTGTTGGAGCTTGGCTCCTAGCCGGCTAGAGCGTCGTCCGTGGAGCTTGTCAACTTGTGTGGCAGCCCTGGGAAGTTTGTAACCATCTCTTGAAGTTAGTACACTCACCCCTCATCTTAAGAGTTAAGTCTCTTGATTTGAAAACGAGTAAGGGTTGGAAAGTCCTAAGCCTTAGTGGCTAACCTCAACAACGTGGAGGTAGGCAAGCCTTGGTGGTGAGCCGAACCACGAGATAAATCATTGGTCACTTGTGCTTGATTTACATTCTTGCATGACATATTGTGGTTGAGGTGATTACTAGGGTTTCTAGTCGATCTACTTGTGTGTGGTGTTCCTACCACTTCTAGCTCTTGATCTATGATTGTCATACCTGCAGTAAACTACTAAATTTCTCCGATCTTAAGTTTTTGTTCATCGATTTTGAACTGTGATTTGAAGTTGTCTGCAGGTGCGGCAGTGTCGCTGTTCTGGCCCGGCAGTGCCGCGGGTGAATTTGATAACCAGAGATCCTACACTAATCCTACTGCTAACCCAAAGTCTTGACCTCATCCATGACAATCATCTTCCTCAGCTCCATGAACCGCAGGCGCCCGAGTGACTTGGTGAGGATGTCAGCGAGCTGTCTGCCGGTCTCGACAAACTCGATGACGATCTGCCCTCCATCGACGCAGTCCCGGAGCAAGTGGAACTTGATGTCGATGTGCGTGCTCCGGTCGTGGAGGACAGGATTCTTGGCGAGGGCGATGACGGGCTGATTGTCCACCATCAGATCTGGCGGGTGAGCTTCCTCGCCGGTCAGCTCGCCCAGCAGCCAGCGCAACCAGACAGCCTGTCACGCCGCCATGGCCGCTGCGACGTACTCCGCCTCACACATCGACAGCGCCACAATCTTCTGCTTCAGCGATTGTCAGGCGATGGGGCTGTTTCCAAGGAAGACAAGCACACCAGAGGTGCTCCGTCGCCTGTCGATGTCGCCCGCCATGTCTGCATTGCTGAAAACAGTGAGCTCCGGCTCACCTTCCTTTGCCTTGGGGGTGCCTCATTGAAGATCGTGAGCCATAGCCCACCCTTGCCGCCACTCTTGGGTAAGATGATCACTTGATCGAACGTCCCCTTAACGTAGCGCAGCAACCTTTTCACCGCCGTCCAGTGATCCTCACGCGGTTCCTCCATGAACCGACTAACATACCCGACTGTGAACGCGATGTCCGGTCGAGTATGCGTGAGGTAGCGCAGCCCGCCGACGATGCTCCGGTAGCGCGTCGCGTCCACCGTCGCTGACATGCTGTGCTTGGACAGCTTCAGCCGCTCCTCCATTGGAGTTGCACACGGCTTGCACTCCGCCATGCCGCTGTGCTCCTTCCCCTGCCTCACCTCAATGCCGAGGTAGTCGAAGAGCGCGCCGAGATCGCTCATTTTGAAACAAGCAGCCATCTTGCGCTTGAAGCTGTCAATGTCCTCCACCCGCGCTCCAGTGACGATCAAGTTGTCCACATACACGCCGACAACGAGCTCATCCTTCCCCCGTCGCCGCGTGTACAGCGCGTGCTCTGCGGCGCAGCGAGTGAACCCAAGCTCGCCCAAGGTGGCGTCGAGCTTGGCGTTCCACACCCGAGGGGCCTGCCGCAGCCCGTAGAGCGCCTTGCGCAGCTTGAGCACCTTGTGCTCAGTGCCCTTGATGGCGAAGCCCGGAGCTTGCTTGACGAAGACCGTCTCTGCGAGCTCGCCGTTGAGGAACACAGACTTGACGTCGAGGTGGTGGACGTGCCAATCCTTCGTTGCTGCCATGGCCAACATCAAGCGAACGGACTCCATTCGTGCCACCGGAGCGAAGTCTTCCTCGAAGTCGATGCCCTCACGCCGCCTGGTTGCCGTGCGGCGAGCAATGCGCGTTATGCTTGACAACATCGGCGCCGCACTCGTCCCGCTTCACCTTGTAGACCCACTTCAACCCGATCGGCCTGCAGCCCACCGGTGGATCCACCAGCTCCTATGTCCCATTGTCCTCGATCGCTCTCATCTCCTCCAACATCGTCCGACGCCAATTGGCGTCGCGTTCAGCCACTGTGAATGTCGGCGGCTCCTCTGCGCTGACAAGGAGTAGTTCTGGGTCATCCAGAAGTCAGCTAGCCACTCGGAGCTCCCCTTGGCGACAAGGTTGCCACCCGCCCTTTGAACCAACCCTCTCGCCGTCATGGAAAGCATCCACGAATTCGTGCGATGTCGGTGGGTGGTGATCTGAAACTCAATGGGGTGTCCCTGTCTTTGCCGTCGCAAGGGATCTGTGGTGGAGGAGGTGAATCTCGCCGTCTTTGGTGGAGCTCGCTCTCCAAGACTGACACCTCTCTCAAAGAAGCACTTTCTCTAGCGCCATCATCTCCTCCTCCTTGATCACCAAGTGCTCGACAACAAATGTCTCTGACACAAAGCAGCTTTCCCTTCCCGCTTTTGATCCTCCCAATCCCAAGCGACCATCTCGTCGAACACTACATCCCTAGAGACCATCGGTCCATGACGCGCAGCAGCTTTTGCTTTGCTCTCCTCCGCCTCCATGCTTTGAACTTCTTGACCGCTTCCGCTGCCTCGGTCTTGCTAGTCAGAAGCTGCAGCCACATGAACCGGCTATAGTCATCCACCAGCAAGATGAAGTACTTGCGCCTGACATGCATCGCCGACGTGATCGGCCCGCAGAGGTCACCATGGACCAGCTCGAGGGCCTCTGCCGCGCGGTACTTCGCCGTCTTCGGGAACGACTAAGCCTGGGCAAAATACCCGATGCCCATAACCCATACTCGAATTACCCGAACCCGAACGCGAGGTACCCGATCCCAAATTCGGATAGTGATTTTGATTACCCGAAATTAGTTCGGGTAATATCCCTCGGTACCCAAACTAACCGAACTACCCAAACATTTGTCCATGTCTTTGTATTTATCATGTGCTTTTAGTTGAACACTTGAACTTATCACTTTATTAGAATATAATTATCTCAGTTTGAACAAGTGACTGTAATACATTATTCTTTACAAAATGCTATTGAAATTCTATACAAATTGCTGCTGAAATTATATATAAGTTGCTACTGAAATTTTATGTAGTTTGTTGTTTTATGTAAATTCGGGTATATCGGGAATACCCGAACCCGAATTATCGGGTACCCGAAATTGCGGGTAGTGTTTTTTCGGGACTAATATCGGGTAACCCGAATTTTGAATTACCCGACCCGAAAAAATCGGGTAACCCGAACGCCCAAGCCTAGGAATGACAGCCTCCTTTGCTTCCCGGCCAAGCAGCTGTCACACAACTCGCCTGCGTGCTCGATGTGAGGCAGCCCCCAGACCATCTTTTCCAGCTTGCCGAGGGCGTCGAAGCTGAGATGGCCATAGCGGGCGTGCCAGAGCCACGGCTACTCCGTGCGCTGCGCAGCCAAGCGGATGGGCTTCTCCACCTTCAAGTCGAGCAGGTACAGCCGGTTCTAGGACCTCTTCACCTTTGCAAGAAGCCGCTGCTCCCGGTCCCTGATCCTGAGGACGCCGTCCTTGATCAGCACCTCGCTGTCGCGCTCATCTAGCTGGCCAATGCTGATAATGCTTGAACGCAGCTACGGAATGTAATATACATCCGTTAGCGCGCGGTGCTCGCTGTTCTGGCACCTGAAGATGATGATGCCGCGCCCTCGGATCGCCACCCTTGAGCCGTCACGGAACTTCACTGTGCCGGTCACGTTGCCATCGAGCTCGGAGAAGGCTGCCTTGGAGCCCGTCATGTGGTTGCTAGCACCGGAGTCCAGGTACCACCGCTGCTCCTGCTCACCGCCCACACGTCCGAGGTGGACTTGGATGCGCGGTTCGTCGAGATTGACAGCCTTCAGAGCCTTCCCGTGCTCCTACTTACGATTTGGGCACTCCTTTGCCCAATGGCCTGTCTTCCCGCGGCGCCGGCAGGCGTTGGGGTCGACCTTCTTCTTTTCCGAAGAAGCCTTGCTACGCGGCGCTTGCCATCGCCACCGCGGCTGGAGGAGGCTTCCCCGGACTTGTTCTCCTTCATCCGGGCATCCCACTCCTCTATTAGCAGCAGCTTGACGCTGTCCGTCGTTGTTGTGGCTTGATCCATGCGCTCGTCCACCGCCCGTAGACGGTCTATCACATCCTCAATGGTGAGGGTGGATAGGTCCAGCATCATCTATATGGAGAGAGCGATCTGGATGTACTTCACCGACACGGAGTGGAGGTACCTGGAGACCGCCTCTTCTTCGTCGATGGTGACACCGTAGCTCCCCAGCTTGCTGATGAGCGACTGCAGGTGGAGGGAGAAGTCCTCCACCGACTCACCATCCTTGAACTTGAGGTTGGCGTACTCCTGCTTCAGCAGCTGGGCCGTCGCCTTCTTTGCTCGATCAGAGCTGACGCGCATCGCTGAAATGGCCTCCCACGCCTCCTTAGCAGACTTATTCGCTCCCAACGGCTCTCGATACTCCGCAGGCACAGTAGTGAGGATGGCCTCTAGCGCTGACATGTCATCTTCTTCTACGTCGGTGCCCTTGTCGATGGCGTTCCAGAGCTGTCGGGCTCTGAGCTTGACCTTCATGGTCACCGCCTACTCGTCATAGTTGGTGCGAGTCAGCTTTGGCCAAGTAGTGCCGCTGACCTCCCACACTGTGCGCATGACGACCTCCTGTCGTGGCTGGGCAGCCCCAGCAGCACTGCCGCCTCCCGCAGCGAACCCGCAGCTCCGCTGCTGTCGCCCGTCTCTGAGCCAGGTGCCATTGCCGGCGATTAGTCCGGCAATGCAGGCGAACTTGTACGGCTCTGATACCACTTGTTGGTCTCTCACTGCCCTGCACAGTTAAGCAGTAAGCTTACCAGCACACACGCACACTCAGTATGGCTAGAGGTAGAAGAAGGGGTGGGCATAGGCACACACATACAGCACAAGCACCAGCGTTGGCCAGAGCTCTGCTCTTTTGGTTTGTGGCAACTGAACTGCCTGTTTTCGTTGCATAGAGGTAGATTATATACAACTCATGTACCAACTATAAGGTACACATGAGCATGGCTAAGTACAGCCCCAACTACTCCTAGTACTAGCAGTACAATTTCTATCTCAGCCCACTATCAAGACATGGCTAATGTATTAGCTACCAACTAATGTACCGGTGGTGGCCTATTGCCCTACTGCTACAACAACTAGGACAGCAGAGAATGACCTATTGCCAAATCTGTTGTGCAGCAAACAAAGAGTGAGAGGTCAGCAGCAGATTGTCTTAAATACACAATCCAAGTAGGGTGCTCTGAATCTAGTAGAATGACAATTGGAAATCGAAGTTTCTTGTAGCTTTGGTTTGTTAAGTTCCCATTTCAACAGCTCAATCTTATTTGTATTTAGTACTCTAGTTTTGATTCATTGATTGCCACTTGCGTTTTTGTGCTAACATTGATATCTACCTTATCCATTGCAGCTATGGTTGGTGATGTGAACATATATATGAATGACTCTGATGATATGCAGATCGCAGAGATAGAGATCATGATAGCTGAACATAAGAGGTACCTTCCCTATAATACTAAATTACTAATCATGTCCTATCAAAAAAAAAAAAAATCATGTCACTGTTTTTCTCTGCATTTGCATTGTTTGCACACATTTTTATTTGGCTTTAATAATCCAGTGTGGACATCTTACTTGGATATTTGTTACCTGAATATTTTTGTTGAGAGATCAAACAAATTGTTGCAGCTAATTTATTAGCCCTTTTAACTTTCCATTGTCAGTTGCTTCACTAACCACATCAGTAGCATAGCATAGTTTATTAACCTTCAACTACGTGATAATCCAGTGCGATTATGCTATCTCTTGGCAACTGATTGTGTACTGCTGTACTGCAAGACAGACAAAATCTACTTATCGCATGAATCTGTTCTCTACCCATTTGCTCCTTGGCTCATGGTCCCTTTTTTCTGTCAGGATCTTGTTTTTATCTAGTGACAAAGTAGTTGAAGCAATAATTACATGTCACATGAAAGTAAAGTAGATGCTACTAAGGATAAAAAGGGGATGTTTTGCCATGAGAAGGAGGTACTGTCTGATCGTGCTAACTAAAACTTTTACTTTTTCTTGTTGCAGCCGTGGGAAGGGAATCGGTCAAGAAGCAATCTTGCTGATGATGGCATTTGCTGTAGAGAAATATGGAATTCACACATTCAGGGCAAAAATTAGTGAATCAAATACGGCATCCCTTAAGCTCTTCAGAAAGTTGGTGAGCACCCTCTTTTGTCATATTCTCGTTTGGTCGCTAGTTTGCTTGATCAGAATTATATTTCTTTGGTTTGGACACAGGGCTTCAAGGATGCTTCATACAGTGCGGTGTTTAAGGAGGTATGGACTTGACTCGATACTTAATCTCACTTTCACAAAGAATCTGTGAGCATTACAAAGAATAGCTTCTGCTAAATTATATCACAGTTCATCAACATTGATGTGCCCTCATTCTTATAGCAAGTAAAAAACAATAGTATTTGTCCGTCGAAATACCAACAGTCACTTTAAATCCATCTAAAAGACATCAATTAGTAAAAACTCATATATTCCTTTCAGGTGACTCTGGAGGCACCTGCTGACTCACTCCCGTTGAGATTTCCTCTAACCATTGGAGACTGGTGACGTCTGACATGCCCCAAGCTAATTCCATGCGGACGGCACAAGAGGCTGATGCTGTTTGTCTGTACTATCTGACCAAAATTTACTTGGGCTGATGGTGTATGAAAAATCGAATAAAACAGTTGCACAGTTGTATTCAGTTGCATTACGGTAACATGGAACAAGTTGCAGTAATCTGGAGGCAGTATATGGTGTTGAAATCAAACTGGATCTATCATTATGTTGCTCATTCATGAATGATGATACAATTTGTAATGCTAGCTACTGCCACTAGCGTTTGTGCACATTTTATCCTCAGCTACAATATTTTTTTTTTACTATACGAGCTACGGTTTTTTTAGGGTGTGAGGTACGATTTTCCTATATTAGCCTGAAAAAACACCAGACATGTTTAGTTTGGCACTTGGGCTCATAGTTGTCAAGCAGCCCAACCAAGCCCAGCTAATGAGGGATGGACATACCGGACCCACGCGTCAGAATCGGTCCTCCCCATTAGCACTCCCAATTCCCAACTTGGGTACAAACCCTTGGCCTGGCCACCGCCCGCCTAGGGGCTATGGGAACGAAACGAAACGGGACAAGATAACGAGGCAGCAGGGAGCCAGGGTAAGGAAACAGAGAAGATGGCGGCGAGGCGCGACACCGAGTTGGACGGCGAAGAGCTCGGCGGCGAGGGCTCCAACCCCGTCGGTGGTGGCGCGACTCCGCCGCCCCTAGCCGCAACCCCTGTCGTATGCGTCCTCCGCTCTGCTGGGGACTTCGCTGGTGGCGCCTTCATCGGATCCGTCTTCGGATATGGTACTCCCGTGATTTTCGATTACCTTGTGCCCTGCTGCTCTTTTCGATTATCAGGAGCCGTCTGGATATTTTCTGCTTTGTGGAATTTTGGTTCTTAGGGCACGTAAAGGATAGAAAAGCCCTTTTCCCCTACTAGTATATAGTAGTATTTGCCCAAATCATGGCATAGCAAATTAGTATGTTAGCCCTCCTCGGTAGTACTGTTCCCGGTTGTAGCTGCATCTCACACGAATCACATGACGACTTAATTTGAAATTTAGATCATTGTTTTATTTGCACAGTGAGCCCCTTATTGCTCTAGTTGCGAAGAGTGCAATCAACATGGTATAATTTTTTTAAGTTTTACACTTGTGGCTCGTTCCCTTGATATAAAATTCCTTGGATTCCTTCCTTAGGACAAGGCTTGCTCTCTAAGAAGGGTTTTAAGGGCTCATTCAGCAATGCAGGGTCCTCTGCCAAGGTTCGTTTATCATAGTTTTTGTTCAAACATATTTCTTTGATGAAGAAATTGTGATGTGCCTTTCTGGACAGCTGTTCATATAACACAAAATATCTTGGATTAGACTTTTGCAGTTCTCTCTGGAGTTCAGAGTTTGGTCGTGTGCTTGTTGCGAAGGCTACGTGGGAAAGATGACAGTATGTATATACCTTGTTAGCCGGCCATATATTTGTTAACATATCTGAACTTGGATATGAACTGACATGTTCTGTTGGCAGTTGTCAATGCTGGTATAGCTGGTTGTTGTACTGGTGTTGCTTTGAGCTTTCCAGGTATTTACACTGAAGCTTTTCTTTTACTTTCTTGCTTACTGTTGTTCTCATTTCTCTTGGATGAGTATTTGCAGTCTTGGTCGTGTGGTAACTGGTAATCTTGTTGCTGCGTGTACTGTGTAACTCTCCTCGTCAATATATTTATGTGTTCATCTTGGATGAAATAGCAGTTATTCATAGAATTTTTGTGAGGGTGGATTCATGTGTTATATGAACTGCTTGAATTGAGATAGCTAGTGTCATGTTTGGTTAGAATTCTACTGTTTGGAGGATGAATCTTAAATGTTCCATTTTGGGTGTACATAGGTGCAATTAAAACTTGTATTCTTGAAAGAATTGGAAGCAATCTATTTCAAGGGTTAGACACTGAGGATGAAATGAAAAAGTTTCCATGAACCTTGCCTCATGAGTTCATCCCGCATTATTTTTACAGTCAGCGAAACTAAATCTTTCTTGCATTATTTTGCGCTGACTAGTGGTTAGCCCAAGTTTTATCAGATAATTCATTTTTGCTAATGGTTTATAAACATGCTCAGTTGCACATGGTACTCAATTTCATAAATTGCCATCAGCACCTTCTTTGAGAGAAACGATACCCTTCTTTTACAAAGAAAACAAATGTTTTGATAAATCATAGTTTGATGGTGATCGCGACCAGCACTTGGCTAGTGATACACTAGAAACATTTTTATGTGTTTTGCTTGTTAGTTGCATGTTTCATTGCTTTCTGGCACTAGCCATGCATAGTGATTATCAATGGCTATAACTGCATTACATTTTAGCGCTCAACTGTTAGTATGTGGCCAATTGTTTCAAGCTCCGGAGGAAGTGGGTATTTGTCCATGTACTGCCTTGAAATACTATTTGGAGTCCCATTATTCTAAAACTCATTCAGTTCTTGGGGATTTTGTCTTATAATAATTCTCTTACATGTTTTTTTTTTATCAGGAGCACCACAAGCGTTGCTTCAAAGCTGTGCCACCTTTGCAGCATTCTCATGCATCATGGAGGGACTCAATAAGCAGCAGGCTGCAATGGCTCGCACACTTGGCGGGACTGCTGTGACGGTCGTGCATGAGAAAGGCGGTGTTCTGCCCCCGTTCACGCTGCCACCAATTCTTGATGCATCTGATGCTTTAGCTTCATGCTGCTTAGCGTTAGTAAAGCCTAAGCACTAGACTACAGAATAGAGGCCGTGAGAGATGGTGCAGAAAGGTGACTTCAATCTTTATTGTGTTGACCCTAGCTTATGTAAATTTTGTTTTTGGACAAGATGTGTAACGTGCCTAAAATCCAGATTTGCTTCATCTGGCCAGTTTTCCCTTCATGTGTTAACGTTTGTAGCATGCCCTTGCGGATTCCGCTGGGTCTGGCATATTTATATGGGATAAGATTGCTCTATAACTGTATCTTTACGGTGTCAAATTTTGGCCTTAACAGCACTGCCTGCATTTTTTTTTATCTATTTCCAGTTCCGAATTTTGGCTTTTATATTATTGCGTGCATTTTTCATGGGTTCCTATGCATTTCCTCATCAGACTAAAAAAACATTCAGATTCTAATATCACTCAAGCTCAGTCTTCCGGTCCTTCTCCTTTTCTCCTATGTGCGTGAGCGTCACCGGTCCCTTTCCCCAATTCACCCATCCCCTTTACACCTTCCCCCAATTCACCTTCACCCGTCCCATTTACACCGACTAAAACTTAGTTCACCTGTCCATTCACCTGTCCCCTTTACACCGATTAAAACTTCACCTGTCCCCTTTACACTGATTGAGACTCGCCTTTACACCGATTAAAGCTTATTCACCTGTCCATTCACATGTCCCCTTTACACCGGTTGAAACTCGCATTTCATGCTAGGTCCCTTCCCCCAATTCCCCCGTCCCCTTACACCGATTCAAACTCTGTCCCATTCCCCCATCCCCTTACACCGTGTTGGTGTTTCGAGTTACCACCGACGAGTAAATTTGTAATATTGCGCGTCTGGCTCGGATGGTGTGTTAGAGGACACGAGGTTTATACTGGTTCGGACAGAAAGTCCCTACGTCCAGTTCGTCGATGCTGCTCGTGTTACTAGCACCGAAAGTTTGTAGTAGGGGTCACAAACGGGCGAGAGAGGGAAATGATCCCAAGTCTCTGGTGAAAGGAGTGAGTGGATGCTGAGAGCTCGATCGCTGCTCAGCTGTGCGTTCGTGTCCTGCTCTTGTGCGGATCTGTATCGGATCTTGATGGGTCGATCGGTTCGGGCTCCCCTTCATGGGCCACCCTGCTTTCCCTTTTATAGGCCAAGGGAAAGCACGGGTTATAGCGGAGGAAAAGGAGAAGAACGAGATAGAGGAAGGCCTCTAGGATCGTCGGGTCCTTCTTCTCCTTCATGCGGGTCTCGCCGACCCTGTAGATGTCAACATGGATGGCTCCATGTCGCGGTCCTGTCCGTCACTGGCGCCATGCGCATGCGTCATCCGCCGGTCATGGCACTCCACTCCGTTCTGGCGGACGTCGTGGTGAACTGATGTGCCTGTCGATGTTCGTACGAGGGTTAGGCAGAATAGCACCGATACGCCCGACGCTGTTCTTGATGTGAACCCTCAGGTATAGCCCATCGTGGCCGCGGGTTACATCGGGGCGTGCCGGTCTCTTCCTTGGTGTCATAGTTTTGACACAGGCCCATACGCTTGGACCTGGAGTGGTTGGCGGCGGTATGGGTCCCTGTTGAGCGAGACGGAGCCCGCACCCAAGGGGTCGAGGCGAAGCCCGCGGTCTTGGGGTCGGGCGAGGCGGAGCACAAACCCAAGGGTCGGACGAGGCGGATCTCGTGACCTTGGGGTCAGGTGAGGCGGAGCCCACCCCCAGAGGTCGGGCGAGGCGGAGATCGTGGCCTCGGGGTAGGGTGAGGCGGAGATCACGGCCTCGTGGTCGGGCGAGGCAGAGCCCGACCTCGGAGGTCGGGCGAGGCAGAGATTGTGGCCTCAGGGTCCGGCAAGGCGGAGCCCGTCCCCGGAGGTCGGGCGAGGCAGAGCCCGCGCACCTGGGGGTCGGGCGGAGCTGTAGGCGCGTTCTTGCTGCTTGGTTGAATCAATGTTGATGACCATTAGCTTCTCTTCTTTGGGTACCATAATATTGGTCCCCAATAGTAGCCTCCGAGCCTATGGAGGAGTAGAATACTCATTCGGAGGCTTTTTCGAACGGGATTACTCCGAGGGCCTTGGCCTTTTCTTGTCGCCCAAGGCATGTCCCGGGGACGGCGATTCCCTTTTGTCATGATCGGGCCTCTCGGGGGTATAGCCGTGAGATTTGGTGGGTCGAAAAAGGTCTTTCCTGATTTTGACCCCTACGGGGGTCTGTCGTTTTGCGACCGTGCGTTCGGTCTCCTTGCAAGTCCAACTTTCCTCGAGACCCCGCACATAGCAGGGGTCCGGTCGAGGGTCGGCT